GACTTTCTCTCTAGCTAATCCTTTCGTCAAAGGATCTGCTAAATTTTCATCAGTGCGTACATGATCCACTCTTACAGCTCCTTTAGAGATACAATCTTTTACCATTATAATAACGGTTCTCAATTTTTGCAATAGCCACGGTACTATGGCAGTGGATCAACATAACTGCCATATGTTTTTCCCATAAGGGAATCTCAGTTAGCAAGCATCTTAACCAACTTGCTTCTTCACTAGCAGTCGCTAATGCTATATTCTCAGGATAGTATATTTCTTTGATTTCCAAGATACAACTCCTCTAGCTATGTTGAATACATAGCCACTAGTTGCTTTGGAATCATTTGATAAGGTATTCCAATTTACATCATTGTATCCTTCAGGTACAACAGGAAATCTCTGTTAATGTAAACCGGGATTCATGGTCCTTTTAAGGTACCGTATGACTCGCTCAATAGCTTGTTAATGTTCATTACTCAGTCTACTAGTAAACCCGCACAACAATCCCTACGACTTATGCAATGTCAGGTTTAGTACAATCAATGGAATACCTAAGACTTCCAATGATGCTCGTATGTTCTGTTTGTCTAACACTTTCACCAGTGTTCTTAAACAGCTTCACGCTTGGATCATTTGGTGTGCTCACAGGTTTACTGTCAAAGTAATTATATTTCTTTAAGATCTTTTTTACATATTGTGATTGATCCAAAGAAATTCATTGCTCGGATTTTGTGATCTTGATACCAAGAATCACACTCACTTCTCTGAGGTCTTTCATATCAAAGTTGTTTCATAATAATGATTTCATATCATTAATGGCCTGGATGTTTGATCCAAATATGAGTAGATAGTCTACATATAGACATATGATAGTGCAAATACAATTCTCAAATTTGTAATAAACGTATTTGTCACTTTCATTCACTTTGTACACATTCGATATCATTAAGTTATCAAACTTTACATGTCATTGCTTTGGAGCTTGTTTTAGCCCACACAAAGACTTATCTAACTTACAGACCTTGTTTTCTTATCCATAGATCACAAACTCTTCCGGTTGTTTCATATAGATTTCTTCTTCTAAGTCACTGTTTAAAAAAGTTGTTTTAACATCCATTTGGTGTACTATTAAGTTATAAATAGCAGCTATTGAAATAAGTACCCTAATGGATGTAATTCTAGTGACAGGAGAAAAGGTGTCGAAGAAATCTATATTTTCTCTTTGTCTAAAACCTTTGGAAACAAGGCGAACCTTGTATTTATCAATAGTTCCATCAGGTTTTAGTTTCCTTTTCAAGATTTATTTACAACCGATTGGTTTGCAACCAGGAGGCAAGTCTACTAAGTGTCAGGTCTTGTTAGATTCTAGAGAGTCTATCTCATCATTGATAGCTTCTTGCCATAACTAAACATCCAGAGATGACAAGGCTTCTTGAAGATTCATTGGATCTTCTTCTACATTATAAGCCGCATAATCAGGCCTATAGTCTTTAGCAACTCTTACTCGTTTACTTCGTTGAAGTTCTGTTTCTACAGTGTCGTTGCTTTCTGTGCTTCTTATCACAGGAATGTGACTCGATTGTGTGCCCCCACTATTTCTCAATTTGAAAGGAAATTTGTCTTCATAGAATTCAACATCAGTTGATTCTATGATCACTTTTGCCTTTAGGTCATAAAACATGTATGCTTTACTGTTTTCTACATACCGAATGAAAACACATTCATATGCTCTACTAGCGAGTTTAACTCGTTTCGGATCCAGAATTCTGACATAAGTCAGACAACCCCAAGTTCTCAAATAAGACAAGTTTGATTGTCTTTTCTTTAATATCTCATAAGGAGAGATCTTACATTTTGACTTGGGGACTCTATTCAGGACATAGCAAACAGTTAATAAAATTTCCCCCCACCAGTGAGGTGCAGCACCAGAATTCATCATAATTGCAACAACAAGTTCAGTAAGAGTTTTATTATTTCTTTCTGTTTTACTATTCATTGCAAGATAGTATGGTGCAGTCGTTTCATGTACAATTCCATGTATAAAATTCATTAATAAACTAGAATCATACAGTCTATCTATCACTGTAAATTCTTATTATATCATTTTCAAATTCTTTACAAGAATTTTAAACATATAAACTTTATTCTTTGTAATGGCGTACAAATCTACCCCAATAGACTAACTAAACCATGTCTTATTTAAAAGAAAATCAGAAACAATATTCTTTCTAATCTTAGGAACTTGCATAACGTTCTTTAAGATTAAAGTCTTTTTGAAGGTGAAATTTAGCTCCATGTCTACAATTCCAGCAACATTCATGGTCTGGCCATCTCCCAACAACACTTTCTTATCTTTAGTATTCGTCCATGTTTAAACATAACACGATCATAGCAGACACAACGAGAGGCACATGTGTCTATCCACCAACCAATATATCTATCAACCATGTTGATTTCAATGACCATAGCAATAAATTGCCCATTAGTCACGTTGACCTGTGCATTAGGGACAACACCAAGTTCAACCTTACTTCTACATTTCTTAGTCATATGACTTGAGTTTCCATAGTTAAAACAAAGAGAAACCAACGTCATTTCTTTTAGGTGATGGTTGTTGCCTAGTTGGAGCTATTGGGATCATAGAAGGATTCCCATTCTTAATTCGATTCGCAATATTGTGGTTCTGATTCTTTAATCATTTTCCAAATAGCTTCAGAACTACACCGAATTTCTTTTTGTTGTTTGAAATAACCAAGACTTTTTATTTTTGATATTGTCTCTAAGATTCCCTTTTTGTTTTTTTTAAACATTCAAACTATGGGGTAGTTTGTCAATAATAAAACCAATTTGAAATTGTTCATTTAAACACATACCTTTTGTGATGATCTTTTAAGCAATCTTTTGAAGTTCGTAATATTGAGTCTCCATCGACCTTACATATTTGCATTTGATACTTGAAGTAGCGGCTAACAACATACTTCTTTGCTTCAGCTTCTACGTCATACTTCTTTTTCTGAGTCTTTCAATCTTGTTTTGCAGTATCACATCAACTGTAATTATCATACAGATCATCTGCGAGTCTATTCAAAATATGATTTTGTAGAGATTTTCATTCTCTTTCTATAAGGTGATTTCTTTACTATGATGTAAATCATTCGCTTTAATCAGTGCAGCAAATTCAACTTCAACACTATTAAGTGTTCCTCTAAATCTCCAGATTTACTACCGTTAGTTTGTTCGATTGATCCAGAAGGAGCAACAGAGTGTCATCGATCAAAACGTTAGCAACTTTTTTTCAACATTAAGAACTTCATCTTTTGTTGCCAACGTTTGAAGTGACTTCTCTCAAACATGAACGATTTCTCAACGATAATATCCGCAAAAGAACCAATAATTTCTTCGATAGCCGTGGCAGTTTGAAACGTCTTAAAATTGTTGATTTCAGATTTTGAAATATTTGCCACCGAAGAAATTACCAAGTTGAATCGCGGACTAGGTCGCTCTCTTTAAGACGTTTCGCGGCACTGCTCAAAATTATGCAAAGCAATCAAACTACCGCACCGCCTCCAGAATAAAACAGCCCAGTTCTATACTGTACGATTACTACTTGCATGATAGATAATCGGTTTAGAAATACACCCTCTGATGGTACAAGACCATTCAAATATGGTATCAACACCACTCGTAGTATCTGGTACAAAGACCAGTCATAATAATTTCTCAAACAAAAAGAAACTCAAATAATTCTCCAAAGAGAATATAATAATGGTCATTTGACCACTCATAATAATTTCTCTAACAAAGAGAAATTCAAATAATTCTCCAAAGAGAATTCAAAAGATTAAACTTGAAAATTTCTCAACTCAAATGAGGAGAAATTAACATAATTCTCTAAAGAGAATTCAAGAAAATACTCGGAAAATTCAACGAGTAGGAAGAAAGGGGAAGAAGATGGCGCTTCGACAATTCGAGAGACGCAGAGTTATGAGAGTGAGGAAGGAAAAATTAATAGAGTAATTTTTTGTGTAATTTGGAATGAAACATGTGCACTCCTTAAATAGTGAAGTAAGATAGTTAATATTTCTCACATGAGCAATGTGAGACTAAATGGTTTTTTCAACCAAAAAAATATCCTAACAATGGGGGACTTGAGAAATTTTTAAATTACATAGTGAAACATGGACATGTTCCAACACTTTATGTATAATTAAAAGTTTTTTTAATTTTTTTAAAGCTTAAATATAAATAAATAATAACAAATTTAAGTGCATTTAATATCTTTATTTTAAAATTATCTTTGAATTAATTATTTATTATTGTTAATAAATTATAATTTAATTGAGGATATATTAATAATTATGTTATTTCTTACGTAATATATATATATATATATATATATATATATATATATATATATATATATATATATATATATATATATATATATATATATATATATATATATATATATATATATATATATATATATATATATATATATATATATATATATATATATATATATATATATATATATTCTTTTTATTAAAAGTAAAATTTATTTATTTATTTATTTTTTAAATCAGACAAATGTAATACGTATTTAATTTTATAATTGTCTAATCAAAATTGCTAATTTTATTACCAATAATATCATACATTCATTGAGATCGAATAACGTGATTTCAACCTCAATATTTGTTTTATTCCATAAATATACATCTTATTATTAAAAAAGAATAGTGATATGTGGACACCTCTTTTGCAACATGTCAAGCGATACCGTATACCATTATTTTCATTTCTCGCTTGCTTTTCAATCATATTTCCGAAAAATGTGTGATCGAAATTGATAATATGTTAATCACATGAATATTACAAAAAAAAATTACATACATATTTATATAATAGCCCCCTTGAAATAAAAATTGGCAAAGGAGCCATATTAAAAGAAAAACCAAAAACGAGAGACACCAAAAAAGGTAGGTGACATTAAGAACAGTTGTTCAAGACCACAATGAAAGAACCGTGTTTTCTGGGTCATGCATTGATATCATGTTGAAGTTGCATCCACTACCATAACCATTCTCTTCTTCATCGTCATAAATGCCATGATACCATGATTCTGAATAATCAAGTGAGTCAAAAAACACTAACTCGTTACTCGGGTCAAGTGTTTCAAAACATGTTCCTAGTCGCGGTAGTTCAACAATCTCAACGAGATCTTCCGGCATCGAATGAGAAGATGATAAAGATGAGGAGGATGTGGTAGTGGTGGTGGAGGTGGAGGAGGAAGAAGGTTCCGGTGAGAGAGGCGGTGGAGGGACCATAAGAGCGGCTCTGGCGGCGGCGGCTTGAACATCTTTTGGTGAGTTGGAAGCGGGTTTAGGAAGTGAAGCTGAGAGTTCGGGGAAGTTAAGGAATGCGGATGAGCCTTTTAAGGTTAGTGCTGCTGCGTCGTGTGCACGCGCCGCCATTTCGGCTGTTTGGAATGTTCCAAGCCAGATTCGGTTTTTCTTCTTTGGTTCTCTGATTTCAGAAACCCATTTTCCCCATGCTCGCATTCTGACTCCTCTGTAAACCGGGTGATTAGTGTTTGTGTTTTTGTTACTATCTCTTTCTCTTTTCTTTCCTCTCTTTTCTTCATCACTTGAACAAGTCAATGATTGTGGTGGAGATGAAGGTGAAGGTGAAGAAGGTGAATCATCAACCATTGTGTTTTTGTTTTGTTTGGTGATTTTAAGGAGCAAAGATGGGGGTGTAGTTTGTAATGATGGTGAGAAAGAGGGTGTAATTAGTGTTTTGTGTGGGAGGGAAAGTGTTAGATGAGATGATGAGTGGAAAATGGAGGGAGGGGAGGGAGGATTTAAGTAGAGGGAAAAGAGAGAGAAGGGTTAGGGAAGGAAACGTGGGGTTGAATAAATAAATATATTGAAAATATGTAAAGGACCCCTCAAGAAAGACCCACACGAATGGTTCTTCTTTGAAAACCACATTTTGGTGTTGGAGGTATGTGGTTGTTTAGTGTGGAGTGAGATATCATACCAATATCTTATAAGTTATTATATTATATATATTATCAAGTTTTTTTTAATTATAATAAATGACACTTGTTTTATGGTTCCATATTTTTACTTGTTAATCAAATTGACACTTTCACTTTAATAGTTTTAGTCATTTTTTTAGAGCTCGTTTCAGGTGCTCGTAAATTTCTAACTTTTAAAAAATAAATAAATTCAATCAGGTTCATTCGTTTTCTTTTACTTAGTTTTGAAATGATTTTTTACTAAAATTTAAAATTTAAAATAACTTTTTAAAATTATTTTTATTTTTATGTTAAAAACCCTTTATTTATGAGGGCTCATTACACCACATAAATCAACATTCTAACTATTAATGACAACTTCTAACTATCATTTTGACCATTGTCAATCATTTTCAACTCTCGTTAATTACTATCTATTACTATGATCACCTTTTTACCTACCTATAAGAAAAAAAAGTTTGTTCAGTTACGATTAAATCTCTCACAAAATAAAACTTTATGTGGAGACAAGTTTCCTAATTAAACAAATCATTACAAATTATTTATGAGGGACATGTCATATTGCAGATTTGTTTGGAGCTAAATTCTTCGAAAAATGTAATCTATGTATTTTTTGTTACATATACACAAACGTGGTCATAGACTAGATGGCACAATGTGTCAGTATTTTACTACGGATTAATCTCTAGTAAATGTATGTATATTTTGGTATTTGTGAGAGATTAAATCTCTCGTAAATTTGTTGGTTATTTTTTGGACAGATTACCTCTGATTAATATTTATAATATTATATAAAAATATATTATAATTATATTATTATAAATATAATAATATAATTATATTTGTAAAAATAAAATTTAAATTAAATTATAAAATTAAATAATGTATGATTAAAGTTGAAATAAAAATTAGTTTCCATATCCGTCAAAGTTAAATTTAAAAATAAAATGTTTTATATTTAAACATTTTAATTATTTTGTTATTTCCGCTCCTCCTCATCTTCTACTATCATCTTGTCATAATCAATTCTTTCATATTCACTAACTCTTCCATATCCATCACCAGAAACTTGATTCATCTCTGAGGTCATAAATTGTTTAATTCTCTATGCGTGTTTATTTACAACCCGCATTATTTTTTCATACTCTATTATTTTTTTCCCCAGTTCTTCCTCCATCTCTATTTGTTTTTAATAATCTTTCATATATTAAAAATTATACATTATCAAAAATTATATTACTAAAATTATATTGTATACATATACTGTTTTTTCAATTATTAAAAACAATACTAAAATATATTACTAAAATTATTAGTAAAATAATACTAATATATTACTAAATAATAATAAAGATATACAGTTTTTATACTTTTTTTTAATTTTAAAAATGATTAACTTTTATATTGTTTTTTTATTTTTTTTGAAATATAACATTTCATTTCATACTGTTTTTTGAAATATTTTTAAATACTGTTATAATACTTTTTAAATACTAAAATACTGTTTTTTAATTATATATTGTTTTTTATAAATATTTTTTATGTTGTTTAAAATATTTATTAAAATAATTTTTAAATACTTTTTATTTCATAATTATCAGAAAATACTAATAAAATACTTTATTTATTTATTTTTGAAATATAATTAACAGCACACCAACATTTATATTAAAAGCACACCAATATTAAAAAAATATCAAACATCTAAATATAAAAATATGAGAGAAGAAAAGTTTATCTTGGATGAACAAATTAAACAACAACAAATTTTTGATTTGAATCTTGATCTTACATGATCGGACTTGGACCGTCACGACTGGCTCTGAGCTGAAGTTGAACGAGATGGGGGGTACCTGCAAGGCACTCCGATGTTAAAGTAAGTGGCAGTACAAGCAGGCAAAAATGTGTGTGAATGGTAAGAGAATGAATACCTGACCCTCTTGGAATAGAGGATATTTATAGCACCCAGCGCTGGGCCAAGGTCCCTTCATTGGGCCGACCAGGATTGGCCCAATAAAGAAACTGCCAGGTTCTACATGTGTAGTAGGGACCCGCACGTGGTCTCCTTCCTGGGTGCTCTGCGAGAAGTACGGACGGACGAGGACACGGTCTTTTCGGAGTTCAGGGGAGGGTGTAACGGTTACAATATGCCCTACGAGGAGGGTGCTCGAGCTGAACTCAAGCTGGATGGTATCTGGTCGAGGACGTTGCGTCCGCGGGCAGTGGCGGGCACGGTCGTAGCTTATGGTCGACGCGCCCCCTGTAGAGCCGTTTGGATTGGGCTATTCTTGCTCTTGGGCCAACCTGGGCCCAGTCCAGAACAAGAGCCCCCCAAGTCGTGACTCCTGGAGCAGGAGTTATGACTTGATCTCAGTTCGCCTTTGTCACGGGGCCTCATGCTCGGCCAGGAGATCTGGTTCTTTGTGTTTGCTTGAGGAGCTTCCCCGTTGTCGCGCTCGTGAGATAGCTCCTTTCGAGGAGTGCCCGGGGGACCCTCGACGGGTTGTGTTCGTTGAGTACACGAGGCAACCCTTGGGAAGCGTGACGCCACCCTATTGGAGATATGGCCATCATTGCCTAGGGGAGCTATGCGTCGAGGAGGGAAGTTCGTGGTTCCCCGGGGTGAAGTTTCGTATTCCACGTCATCACTATAAATAGGGTCCTTGGGCCCCATAATATGTTTTTCCTCTTCGCGCTTCTCCTCCTTCCTCTGCCTCTGCTGCTGCTGTTATTTCCAGATTTTCATAGGACCACCGTGCTTTCCGCCGTTGAGTTCCTTCTCCGCTGCCGTACCTCTTTCCTGATTTCAAGTAAGCGTCTCATCCCTCATGTTTCTCCTCCGTGGAATATGATTTTTTCCATTGTTTTGTATGTTAGAGAATCTGTGTATGGGATTAGCCCCGGTATATATATGCGTTTGCCCGGCATATCCATGTTTATGCCCGACAAACGCATGTTTGTGCCCGGTAGATGCATAGTTTAGGTATGTGACTTGCAATACTGCCCGGGATCTTCATGATTCAGGGCGCCTAACTCGTGGTAGTGCCCGGTAATTTCTTAGTTCTAGGTTTAGGGTTTATGATATTGTTCGTCACGTCCATAGCCTAGGTCGACATATTCGTGACTGGTCGGGAGGTTGGCCCATTTAGGCAATCCGTAGGATGACTTGTCGTGGTATCTTGACGTCGAGGAGGTGACTCCAGACTTTTGTTCGTATCTTCAACGTTTTAATCGTGTGTGGGGTGTGACTCGGCTTGTCGTGCCCTTCTTCCCGTCAGTTATGGCGAGCGTATGGATTTGCTCCCCAATTGACCGGTTTCCTGTGCTTTGCAGGTAACAATGGCTGATGAACCGTGTTCCTCGGGGCACCATGAGGTGGAAGATCAAAGCGCCGAGGAAAATGTGAACCTGATCGATACCATTGACGATCCTCTGTTAGAGTGGGTGGGCGCCGAGCCCAAAGGGATTGCTTCTTCCCACAGACGGCGCCACTGATCTTACCTGATCAGACTTGGACCGTCACGACTGGCTCCGAGCTGAAGTTGAACGAGATGGGGGGGGGGGGGGGGGTACCTGCAAGGCACTCCGATGCTAAAGTAAGTGGCAGTACGAGCAGGCAAAAAGGTGTATGAGTGGTAAGAGAATGAATACCTGACCCTCTTGGAACAGAGGATATTTATAGCCCCCAGCGCTGGGCCAAGGTCCCTTCATTGGGCCGACCAGGATTGGCCCAATAAAGGAACTGCCAGGTTCTACGTGTGTAGTGGGGACCCACACGTGGTCTCCTTCCTGGGTGCTCTGCGAGAAGTATGGACGGACGAGGACGCGGTCTTTTCGGAGTTCAGGTGAGGGTGTAACGGTTACAATATGCCCTACGAGGAGGGTGCTCGAGCTGGATGATATTTGGTCGAGGACGTTACGTCCGCAGGCAGTGGCGGGCACGGTCGTAGCTTATGGTCGACGCGACCCCTGTAGAGCCGTTTGGATTGGGCCTATTCTTGCTCTTGGGCCAACCTGGGCCCAGTCCAGAACAAATCTCTTTACAAAATCTTAAATATTTATGCTACATACAGACAGAAAATGAACAATAAAAATTAAGATTAGGGATTATGTAAATTGAAAAATATAAATAAAATAAAATAAAAACAAATTTAAAATTTAAAAAATTGTCTTCATTTAAATGTATTGTCGAAGATTTGATGATAAAAAAATTGATTCAGAAGGATGAAGATTTGAGTGAGAAGGAAGTGAAAATACGGAGAGAAAAAAAATAAGAGGAAGTGAATCAGTTTCTAAAAATTGGGAGAAGAGGAAGTAAAGTGGGAAAACGATCATATTTAACTTTGGGTAATCCCTTGTAAAATGTAATTGTTAAATCATTAAAGCGACAACGGTGATGTGACAATGCATAAAAGAGTCTGAATGTGTGATGGAGTGAGCCTCGCAAAAGCAATGAAAAATAATGGCTAGGGATAGCCCCTTGCAAAAGCACGTTAATAATGGAGTCATTTTTTATGTGTGGGTTGATCCCTCGCAACACTCAATTTCAAACTTTGAAAACTCCTTTTTTAAAATTTGTGAAGGGCGTCCTTGCTAATTTTGTTTTTTTACTAATTTTTTTATGCGTTGCAAGCAGGTAAATTCCGAACAACATTTACATTTAGTGAA